AGATTCTTATGTTCTCAAAGATTCTAAGGATCGAGTTTTAAAACTCGAAAACTTCTCCTTTGAAGCCTCTTTAGAGCATGAAAAAGTTCCTCATTAAATATTTGTGCAAAACTTTCCTTAAAATGAAGGTAAAATTATACACACAAATTGAAATTATTTTGTTGCCCAAAGTATTTGGCTGGAAATTAGACTATTTTGCAGAAATAGATGACAAATATTACTCGTTAAAATGAGATGTTAATTAAATTTTAAACCAAAAAAAAATACTAGCTAATGAGAATACGACGGTAAATGAAAATTCGAATAGTATCGATAATCCAAGGAATTGGTCTTCAAAAAAGAAGTAGTTAGTTTTGGTTATCATAACTGTCTCAGGAATATCGATGCCTATTGCGGGAATGTGAGTGTTTTTTTTTTAAATTCATAAATAGATAATCAAAATAAGGCTGCACAGCTGATTTCTTAAATTCCGGGTCGGCAATCATTATAAACATTCTTTTTTACGGTATTAATTGCCAAGAATTTGAGATCGTTTTCTGTACCGGAACTATATGGAGTCTAATAAGGAAATCTATAATTATACAATTTATCATCAACAAAGTCACATGTATATGTCGTGCCACAGACTAACGTTTGTCTCAGATGTCAATCGGCCTAAGTTAGGGTTAGGGAACTCCTACAGGGAGATCCCAGAATTCTGGGTCAGAAGCTTCGGAACTCTTGTCGGAAGGGCCGGAGTTGATCGATTTTGTCCCAAGATCACTAAGAATTTTACTAATGAAACAATAGTCATTCATTAAGTAGCTGATAATTTTACTATAGCCTATAGCTCCCGCTAACCCTAACTCAGCCCTAACCCCGACCCTAACCACGACGCATTCCGACCATTCCGACTCGAAAATTTGGGGATCACCCTGTAGAAAATGGGTAAGGGTAAGAATCTGGGAAGGATTTGGGCTTAATCAATATCGATCAGTTAATGCGGGCCAAAAGGTCGACATCTGACGCAAGCATTAATCTGAGGCACAACATATATATCAAATATACTGTATTTGATATCAGATATGTTCGACACCAGGTATATTAATTACGCATGTACATAAGTATGTACGTACAATTCATGCTTGGTAAGTTATAAAATTTATATGGCTTCATTGGAACAACTAAGTTTATGATTAAATAGTTAAATTATTATTTAAGTGATATTTACTGAAAGTAATATTAACTAAAAGCCAATTTGTTGAATTTCAATTTTGTGCAGCCTTATTAAAGTTATTATAGCAATAAAGTAATGGTCTGGTCCGGGTTCCTTTTAAATATCCTCATTGGCTAATAATGATATTGACAGTCCGGCCTAGTTTAGTCGGTTTATTATGATTCACGTGCATAAGACTTATCAATTAGGCCAGATTAAGACTAGACTGGATAAGATCAAATTATTTAAGCCGTGAACCGATTTTATGATAGCGGTTTAAGACCGAACTGATAAACATCCCTACTTTTGTACTTACTAAACTAAAAAAAAATTCATTAAAATTTTAGGATCCAGTTTCCTGCACTTGTAGTAATACAAAATGAATTTAATGCCTCCAATTTAGCTATAGATTCTTTTGGTAATATATAATAAAATTAATAACTGATAAGGAAATAGGTCAAACGTTTATTTTAAAATTATTTCGCTTTGTAGGTTCTGTGTATACGTTTTTCCTAGGAGTAGGGGTAAAGTGAATTTCATTTATTGTGCATTGTTACTATTTTAGTTCCTTATACTAATAATGCTTTAATAATTATTATAGTCAATAGTTTTCGCTGCATATTCGGATGAACTCGCAACAAGAAAGAAAGTATTTATCACTTCTTTTCTAGTATTTATTTTAGCATCAGTGGTGTGCGCAATTGCAACAAACATTTGGTTGTTAGTAATAATGCGTGCCATTCAAGCTTGTGGTAATTCTGCTATATTGCCACTTTGTGCTGGAGTTATAAGCGACATTTACAATCTGCTTGGTAAAATTTTTAATTATGATTATCATAATTGTAATATATACTTAATTTGTAACAACTTTAATTATTAATTTACAGAAAGAGGAAGTGCATTTGGAATATTTTACTTTGTCTTTTGGATTGGTCCCTTTCTAGCTACAATTTTTAGTGGATTCATTGCCCAATATCTTGGTTGGCATTGGATTTTTTGGATTTTGGCAATTTTTGATATTATTCTTTCTTCCTGAAACTTTTAATGCTGATTCTTTAAAATCCAATCCAATTTCAAAGTTTAATCCAATTTCTCCATTAAAATTATTTAAATATCCAAATATCACTCTTGTTATTTTATATATATATATATCAACTTTATTAATTCATATTCAAAATATTAGTATTCCTATAAATTTTTCTGCTCGCTATAATTTTACAACTTCAGAAATTGGGCTATTCTTTATCGCACCTTGTTTTGGATATATGCTTGGAAGTTTGTTAGGAGGAAAATATTCGGATTATTTATCACAAAAATTATTATCAATATCTGGCGATTATTGTCCCGAAGTAAGAATAAAAGGCGCTTGGTTTGGCTCATTATTAATTCCAATAACTTGTTTCATTTATGGATGGTTATTAGAAATTAATTATAATATTTACGTATTGGGAATCATATTATTTTTATGTGAGTTCAATTTTAATATTATTTAAAGTATTTTATTTAAAAAATCAAACAAACTTGACTTATAGTATTACTTTTTTTATAAAGGCTCATTTTGAATGTTAACCACGTGGTGCTTCGGTTATGGCATTAACATGTCTTATTAGATTGGCTATACCTGGTATCATTACAATTTTTGAAACCTCTATTGAAGAAAGATTAAGTGTTCGTTGGATGTTTACTTTAATAAGTGTAATATGTTTTCTTAGTATTTTATTGCTAGTTATGGTGTATATTAATGGAAGGAAATAGAGATCTAATTTTATTGCTACAATCTAATATACAATGATAAGACATTTACTATTTTTACTTTAATATATTATTGATTAAGTTAAATACGTATTTTGTACTAGGCAAGCAATGCATATATTTATCTAGTTATCTATTGTTAGTAAATTTTTACTGGGAATAATGTAGTGAATAGCCTGTGGGGAAGTGGCCATTGGGAAAATAAGATGTTACTTTCGTATTGCTATTGTACGTAGGAATGGGCTCAGTTACGACTATAGCTGACTATACTGTAGTCAACTATTAGTCGTGGTACAGCTGACTGGCTAAAATTGTTGTCGATGTCAGATTTTTAATGTTCTGGCTAATAAAACTAATAATTAATACTTAATTCGGCATTAGACTATATTGGTGGATTGATTAATAGAGAACTCATCATTCATAATTCTCTCAAATTTGCAGATTATTTGACCAGATCTAAAACAAACCAATTTTAAATCTGGTCAAATTTGACCAGAATTAAATTGTTTTGATAAAGATCGACACGCGTAGCAAAAATATAAACTATATCAAATGAGGGTAGCGAGCGCAGAACCAATGCGATCTCTTGCGTGCATTGTAGCCTTGAGAATTATTTGTATAATGATATTAGTTAAATTATTGTTTATTAAATAAGGGTAGCTGCGCAGCGCATAACGCCAGTACAATTGTATATGACAAGTTCAAACAGCCTATTTAAACTTCTAATAAATAAATGTTGCAACTGATGCTAAAATTTGGGGCCGTGATTTGAAAATTCAAGTACTCTAAAATCCACATATACTCTTTAATTATCAATTCTAACCTAAACATTAACTCAACAATAAAAAAAAGAAGAATTACTAGTATTACTTGTTTAAAAAATCACCTGGCCTAAATTGCACAAATAAAAAAAATCAAATAGTTATTTGTTTTGAATAGCTCAATTATTACATTTTTCATTATTGTCGCTCAGTCAGATGGCTTTATTAACTTGGAACGAAAATGTACTGGAATTTTTCTACCAAACATAAACTCTAGGTATAAATATTAAGATAAATCTACCTTAAATAATACATCTGTCATTCACACTTTATAACAAAATTATATACTCATGGCTACTAAGTAAATATGTCGTAGTTTAGTTCTTGACTACTATTGCTATGTAGTTAATCACCAAAAAGAGGTTCTTGCACTGCAATCATTGTGAATAGTTAAATTTGAATAAATCGCATTGGAATTATCTTGATTCCTCCTTTATCATAATTACAGCAAATAATTCTTTTATTGAATTTACTAATCGATATACACAGTGGTTAAAGTTGCAGGAATTAACATAATTTTACTATAAATTACTGTAGAAATTTTTGTTATAGAGCTTACTCATTTTAAAATCAAATTAGTTGCATCAGAACTAGTGCTCCGAACGGGTATCCTTATGTCAAGCAAATTTCGGGCTTAAGATCATTTCCGGCCTAAAAATTTTTGGTCATAGTATATCAAAAATTTCCTATATATTTAGTATATAAAAATGCTCCCTATGACTAAAATTTTGTGTCGAAAACTTTTATTTAAAGGTCAGAAGTTAGTTAGCATAGTAAAATTTTGCGTTATTTACAATTTTTTGCATTTTCTTATATTTTTTGCGTTTGGTTTGTTACACAAGATCCTGTAATTTTATTGGATCTGATCTACGAAATTTATGATCGGAAGTGATCTTCAGCGATCTTCAGCCCGGAATTTGCTTGACATAAGGGTACTCGCTCTGAACGGGTCTGGTCGGGTTACGAGCCAACCCGACCCGACCAAAAATTTCAGGTCAGGTCGGGTTGAAAATTTTCGGATTAGAGCTTCAACCTGAACTGAACTCAACTCGACCTGAACCCGACCCAAAATTTTAGGGCTAATATATTAAATTTTTTTAAAAATGAATTCAAATAGCCTTATTTGCTCTTAAATGTTTAATAATTCATGTAACATGATCATCGAAGTTGGCTAATCAAATCTAAACGCGGTATGCTTATAAACTCAGCGGGCTACTACAGTAAGAATTGTGCATTGCATATTCAGAATCAATGAAAGTTTTTTTATTATTATCATATGGATTTATGGAATTAATCTAAAAAGCTTTACTGATTTGCTGTCAAGAAATTATTGTTCGAAGTTAAAGAATTTAGATGATTATTAAAATAAAGTCAGCAGTTAAGTTTCTCCAAATTTTGATCGATTAGATAAAGTAATTGCTGAGATATTTTCATTAAAGGGTCGAAAAAAACATATAATAGTATTATCAGGGATTTGTAATTTTATTGGCTTAAGATGTTAACAAATATGCACCAATCAGATCTCTAACTAATTTCAATACATGTAATATTTTAAAGTAAAAAATATATGTTAAAATTAGTTAGAAATTAGAATTTTTTTATATTAGAGCGCAAAACGTGGTTTCATAGTTGAAATTTCAAGTTATGCATCGATAATTTTTTAAAAATTGTAATTTTCATGTTGTACTCACAGCAGATTCTCGATTTTGATTGGCTAAGAGCGATGAACCAAAAGTTTTGACGAAATTCTACCAATGTAACCACAGAAACTATTAAGTGAAAATTGTTCCTGGGTCAATTTTACCATAATGTTGCCAGAAATTTTTATTTTTGTAATGAAAAAAATCAAGTTAATTACGGCCAGAAATTAGTAAACTATTATATAATGTTGGCCAAAATTTGCAGATCTGCAGCTGTTAACCAATCAAAAATCGAGTGAAAATTTTGTGCTAATCGTTTGAAGAAATCTGATTGATGCATACTTGACTGTTTTATTTAAAATATTATTTAAAAATACATATGTACTTGCCTATTAGAACCAAAAGAAAAAACATAAAATGCTAATTTTGCACATCTATAAATTTGATAATTTTTGGGTCGGGTCAACATTCAACCCGAACCCAACCCAAAATTTTCAGGTCAGATGTTTCTAACCCAAACCCGACCCAAAATTTCAGGTTGACCTGATCTGATTTAGAGCACTAATCAGAACCAGTGTTTCAGCCTAAACCTCCCCCAAAGTCTGAAACACTTCACCCAGAGGAATTTTAGTTTCACCCTATAAGTCCGAAACCCTCTGAAACTAGTTTCGCCCAATTTGATCTGAAAATGATCTGCAAAATCAGTTTTAGACCGAAACACTGATCAGAACTATCTTGTTTTCTATTATGATATGCCATAAAGAATTTACTCTCTAATGCAGTTTATATATTAAATTAATATCAGAATTATTATGATATTTACATAAAATATTTACAAAACTTACTACTATTCTTTTTTTTTATTTTTTTTTTATTTTTTTTTTTATTTATATAATGTCATAGTAGAAACTTTATTACAGTCAGTCCGAAGATTGAAAGTTATCTTATAGTC